CCATCTAAGTAATGCTTCCCTGGAGTTTACTTTGAAGTCTTTGAAATTCAACATCTTCACTGTCCTGGCAAGAAATTAACTTTTTGTGGGACATAATCCAGACAGATTTGTTTCAGCGCCTCTCTCTCTCTCTCTCATTCACAACCTTGGAAAGCTGAACTGTTGCAAAACCACATTTATTCAGAGCTATAGTTAGTTTGAAACTAAAGCTGACAATCCTTGCATGGTTTGACTGCTGTTAATGAGGGATAGGTCTATACCAGCAGCTGATCACAAGGAATGAGCAAGGAACAAACTGTTTTTATGAGGTGCTCACAAATTAGTTCTCCCAACTTTTGGTCTGCTGTTCCTGTGCTTTCAGTTCCATTCTTTCCAATGCCAGCATAGTGATGAATTTGGGAATAAATTTTATATTGCATTTCTGTTTACTCAAAATTAAATTTTAAAATTGAAGAATTTTTTTTTCCCCTCTTGGGAAGTTTGTTTTTAATGTTGGATGTGGTGGTGATAGAATGCAATGGGCCAGTTCTTCAGCTGGAGTAACCTGGCATATTTTCACTGAAGGCAATGGAAATGCACTGAGTTCTGCCAGCGGCAGATCAGTGCAATTTGTCTCTGTGTTGGTAATATATTCAGTGCAATATACTGTATGTGAAAGGTTCAGGATTGACAGTTAGCACAACTGGAAACTGAAGGCCGCTATTTGCAAAGCAGGTAGCACGTGGGCAGTGGCAATGTAAACATCACTGCAGTGTCTTCCCAATGTCCCTTCTTCCAGATCGGGAGCGAATGAGATGAGAAGGTAGTTCAGTGTTCATAGACTCAAAGACTTTAAGGTCAGAAGGCACCATCGTGATCACCTAGTGTGACCTCCTGCACATTGCAGGCAATAGAACCTCACCCACCCACTCCTGTAATAGGACAATAACCTCTGGCTGAGTTACTGGAGTCTTCAAAACATGATTTAAAGACTTCTTCCAGTTTCAGAGAATTCATCATTTACACTAGTTTAAACCTGCAAGTGACCTATGCCCAATGCTGCAGAGGAAGGCGAAAACCCCCCAGGACAGGCCAGTCTAGGGTTACCATACGTCCGGATTTTCCCGGACATGTCCGGCTTTTTGGGCCTCAAATCCCCGTCCATGAGGAAATCCCAAAAAGCCGGACATATCCGGGAAAATAGGGAGGGAGGGGTCATGGGGTTTGGGTCCGAGCCAGACCTGCTGGGGCCAGGGCCGCTGGGACCAGGGCAAGACGGAACCGGGGCCAGGGCGGGCCGGAACTGGGGCCACCGCCCCAGGGCCCGAGCCGAGCCAGGTGGGAGACGCCGGGGTCAGAGCCTCTTGGCCTGGGCCGGCCAGCCGCTGGAGGGAGCCGCTCGGCCGGGGGGCTGGGGGGGCGGAGTTGGGGCGGGGCCGGAGTGTCCTCCTTTTTTTAAATTAAAATATGGTAACCCTAGGCCAGTCAGACCCTGAGGGAAATTTTTTCCTGACCCCAAATATGGCAGTCAGTTAGACCCTGAGCATGTGGGCAAGACCCACCAGCAAGGGACCTGGGAAAGAATTTTCTGTAGTAACTCAAAGCCCTCCCCATCTAGTGTCCCGTCTCCAGTCGTTGGGGATTTTTGCTACTGGCAGTCACTGATGGTTGGGTTGCCAGATGTCCAGTTTTCGAATGGAACACCCGGTCGAAAAGGGACACTGGCGGCACTAGTCAGCACCGATGACCAGGCCGTTAAATGTCTGGTCGGTGGTGCAGCAGGGCTAAGGCAGGCTGCCTGCTTGCTGTGGCTCTGTGCACCGCGCAGCTCCCGGAAGCAGCGGCATGTCCCCTCTTCAGCTCGTACACCTATGGGCAGCCAGGGGGCTCCCCCACTCCAAGCGCCAGCTCTGTAGCTCACATTGGTCAGGAACCATGTCCAGTGGGAGCTGCGGGGGTGGTGCCTGCAGACGGGGCAGCACACAGAGCCACCTGGCTGCGGCTTTGCGTAGAAGCCAGAATGGGGGACATGCTGTTGCTTCCGGGAGCTGCCTGAGGTAAGCGCCACTGGAGCCTGCACCCGCACCCTCCCCCTGGCGTCCCTGCCCCAGCCCTGATCCCCCTCCGAACCCCTCGGTCCCAGCCCATGCCCCAGTCGAGCCCCCTCCCACACCCTCAATCCCACATTCCTTCCCCCACCCCAGAACCCGCACCCCCCGGCCTAGAGCCCATACCCCCTTCCACTGCCCAACACCCTGCCTCAGCCCGGAGTCCCCTCCCATACTCTGAACCCCTCGGCTCCACTCCCCAGCCCAGAGCCCCCTCCTGCACCCCAAACCCCTCATCCCTGACCCCACCCCAGAACCTGCACCCCCAGCTGGAACCCGCACCCCCTTCTGCACCCCTGCCCCAGCCCATGAAAATGAGTGAGTGAGGGTGGGGAGAGCGAGTGACAGAGGGAGGGCGGGATGGAGAGAGTGGGGGTGGAGTCTCTGAGAAGGGGCATGGTAGGGGCAGGGCCTCGGGGGGGGGAGGGACCGGGGTGTTCAGTTTTGTGCGAGTAGAAAACTGACAACCCTACCGATGGGCCACATGCCATTGTAGGCAGGGTCATCATACCATCCCCTCCATAAAGTTATCAAACTCAGTCTCAAAGCTAGGTAGGTTTTTTTGCCCCCCTCCCTCCCCCCCCCACTTGGAAGACTGTCCAGGACTTCTCTCCTCTGATGGTTAGAAACCTTCAATTATTTTTCAAGCCTAAACTATTTTAGACCAGTTTATATCCACTTGTTTTTGTGTCCACATTAGTGCTTAATTTAAATAACTCTTTCCCCTCCTTGGTATTTATCCCTCCGATGTATTTATAGAGAGCAATCATATCTCCCCTCAGCCTTCTTTTGGTTAGGTTAAACAAGCCAAGTTCTTTGAGTCTCTTCTCATAAGGTAGGTTTTCCATTCCTCGGATCATCCCAGTAGCCCTTTTCTGCCCCTGTTCCAGTTTGAATTCATCTTTCTTAAACATGGAAGACCAGAATTCCAGATGAGGTCTTACCAGTGCCTAGTATTGTAATACTAATACTTCCCTGTCTCTACTGGAAATACCTCACCTGAAGCATCCTAGAACTGCATTAGCCTTTTTCATGGCTGCATCACATTGACGGCTTATAGTCAACCAATATGTCCAGGTCTTTCTCCTTTGTCAGTTTCAAATAATAAGCCCCCAGTTTATAGCAAAAATTCTTTAGTCCCTAAATGTATGACCTTTCACTTTGCACTATTAAATTTCATCCCATTTCTATTACTCCAGTTTACAAGGTCATCCAGATCTTCTTGTATGATATTCTGGTCCTCCTCTGTATTGGCAGTACCTCCCAACTTTGTGTCATCTGCAAATTTTATTAGCATATTCCCACTTTCTGTGCCAAGGTCAGTAATAAAAACGTTAAACAAGATTGGCCCCAAACCCAAACCCTGAGGAACTCCACTAGTAACCTCCCTCCAGCCTGACCTTTCAGTATGACCCGTTGTAGTCACCTCTTTAACCAGATCCTTATCCACCTTTCAATTCTCCTATTAATCCCCATCTTCTCCAATGTAACTATTAATTTCTCATGTGGAACTGTATCAAATGCTTTACTGAAATCCAGCTAGATTAGATCTACTGCATTTCCTTTGTCTAAAAAATCAGTTACCTTCTCAATTAAGGAGATCAGGTTGGTCTGGCACAATCTACCTTTTGTAAAACCATGTTGTATTTTATCACAATTGCCATTCACTTGTATGTCCTTAACTACTTTCTCTTTCAAAATTTGTTCCAGGACTTTGCATACAATTGAGGTCAAACTAATAGGCCAGTAGTTTCCTGGATCACATTTTTTTGCTTTCTTAAAAGTAGGAACTATATTAGCAATTCTCCAGTCATAGGGTACGACCGCTGAGTTTACAGATTCATTCAAAATCCTTGCTATTGGACTTGCAATTTCATGTGCCAGTTCCTTTAGTATTCTTGGATGGAGATTATCTGGGCCACCCGATTTAGTGGCATTAAGCTGTGTCTGTTTCCATGTCTGTTTGGTCTCTTTGTTGAGCCTGCCATCAATGATGCAAGATAACAATGGGTTTTATGATGTGGATGCTTTTGCAGTAGGAACTGGACAGTGATCACCAAATTGCTTCATGAAGTGAGTAGGGCTAGAATTTTCAAAGTATCCTAGGAGTTAAGTACCCACATCCCACTGCATTAAATTTCAAAAGGGAAGAGGTGGGGTCTGAAGCCCACTCTAGCAGCCATCAGTTGGAAACCACTGCCTATTTCAACTACTGAACTAGTGCCAAAAGATTCTGCAATGAGTTACCAATCCCGTGAGAGATCCAAACAATGTATTAGGGCCTTTTTATTTATTTTTCTCACTTTTATTTTAGGAATTACTTTCTGCCCATTTCTCAAAATGTTGAGTTTTCTGTTTGTAAATGCTTGCCAAGTACTATATGGTAGGCAAAAAACTTGTATGAAACCTTAAAGTTTATTACTTTAGAGTAAATTGATGTAGCTGGGGGAAAAGAGGAGAACGAGTAAAGAGAGACTGGTAAAATTAAAATCATATTTTTAAAAAGCTGTTAGTAAAACTGCAGGTTATTAAAACCATATGAATTTTTAAAATGGGGTTTACTCTTCCTTATTTCTGCTAGGTTTTTTTATTTTTATTTCGTGTCTATGAAATTTTCTCATCTTGAACAGGAATTATCCGTTTCATTTTCTTGTTCTTGAGACCTACCACAGTGCTGCTGTTCTAGGGTTTCCAGCTCTAAAAGAGAATGCAGAAATGCCCTCAAAATGAGTTCATTTAAAATAAAAATTGCATCTCTTTCCATGTTACAAAACCTAACTCGGTTTAAAATGTTTGACATTGAAGTAGGCCTCCCCCACCCCTAACCCCATAAATGTTAAGTAAATTATTGTTTGTTTGTAATATAACTTGTCAATGCCTTACACTAAAAGGCAGAATTATTTTCTTTTCCAGCTGTTGACTAGAAGTCAGCCTCATCGTCTTTGGTGTAGCTGTAAACATGACTTGACATCCTGATGACTGCATTCATGGCTCTTGGATGATCTGGTGCACCATGGAGCTCAAAGTATGGGTGGATGGAGTCCAGAGAATTGTTTGTGGGGTCACTGAAGTCACAACTTGCCAGGAGGTGGTGATAGCCCTGGCTCAGGCTATAGGTATGGAAAAGGATTACTTGGATTGGTGGGAATGAATTGGTGTGATGTATTAAACCAGATGGAGGATAGCCTAGTCTCCTGAGGGTTGTAATACTCTAGTTTAATTTTGGTTGTTGGGGTTAGTGTGGGGTGGTGTTGGTGGCCTGTGATATACAGAAGATCAGACTAGATGATCTGGTGGTCCCTTTCTAGACTTAAACTTTGAGGCCCCTCAGGGTTTGGCTAAAATATATAGCTATGATGAGTCATTTGAAATTTGCAAAAAGGAAATGTATGCACATATCGGCAAACTTTTTAGTTCTGCATGAAGTTACTCTCCAGCTAATAACATGCTGCTCTTTGTTTGAGTTTGTAAATACAGCCCACGTATTTTCTTTAATAGACTTTAAGGACTAAACTGTCAGTGCTGGTTGCTAAGTACCAAGGAAAAACTGAGCTAGCATAAAATAACTAGCTGTCTTTTATACAAGCTGGTGATATTCATTGAAATTATATACACTGCAAGTATTCCTAGCTGCCCATCAATAGAGTGTAGTCTCATTAGCACTGTGTGGTGGTAGGTGTGTCTTGAATATCTGCATAAGAAGTGTGTTCAGTGTTCTGGATGCTATTTGCTAAGACAGTTTTTGTGTAGACATCATTCACTCGAGTACTTGCAGGGTAAGTCTATCCTGGACATTAAGCCCGGGCTCCGACTTAGGTTTTAGCCTCTCCTTCCATCCACACACACATCAGGCTGACTCAGGTCAGCAGGCACTCAGGATCTAGATCCTAAGGGTTGGGTCAGAGCCTGAGTCCCATTGTGACTCAAGTCTAAGCTCTATCGTTTTGCAGCGTGACCACAGATCTGGCCATAGACCCAAGTCAGAATATCTACATAGTGCAGCATGGACGTGTTAGCTGGACTGAGAGACCTGAGTCCAGCTATTGTAAGCCCAGGTTTACAGTGCTCTGACACCCAAGCACGGACTTAGAAACACTGAGTCCATAAGCCTGAGTCCCACAGATCTAGGCTTAGTTTGCAGTGCAGACATACCCACAGTGGCCATCTATCAGTGTTGCCAGACTGTTCTCAAATTAAAAAAAATAGTTACAAAGTCGTGGAGCCGACTCAAGTAAGAAAACCCATGCCATGGAGAACTTCTGCTGACACACCACCTCAGCAGAACAGTGGTGGGCTGAGAGCAGCAAAGGTCCTCAGCTCTCCCACACAGAGTCCAATATTGGGGTTTTTGGCAAGAGACCCCCCCAAGTCCAGCAGCTTTGAGTTCACAACCCTTTGGGATGAATAGAGCAGTTCACACCTCTCAAAGCTATGGCTTCTCTGCAAAGTTCAGCAAACATTGGTGCATCAACTACACTTGGGTCATGTTTTCTTTGCAACAGTGAGGGCTAGAAATATACTTTATATTATAATTTTAGATTATTTTGACTCTAGGAGCTGGGGCCACAGGCACATTCCTGTAACATCTATCCCTTAATCTGGCCCCGTTGGCCAGAGACCTACCTCTAGAGCTTTTTTCAGATCTCGCTATATTTCCCCCACCAATCAACCCTTTCTCTCATGATCCAACATCTTCCCTATGCTTCTAGGGCCTACTGAAGGACATCAAGCTTGTTTGATAAGTGGTTTGATGTCACCCACACGCAGCAAAATTTGCATTCTGCATGTACATCTTTAAAGTGAAGTCATTTATGTACCAGACTTAAATGGCTTATGCATTTGAGCTCTCGGGTACCAAAATGGAAAGGGATACTAACCCTTTAGGAGAACAGACAGTGTCACTGCCTGCCTCCCCTAGGCCTTCTATAAAGCCTGTCATGAATTTTGAGATTGTGCATTCTATTGGATGAAATGACCTCTTTATTTTTTTTTAAACTCACACAACAAGGGGAATAACCATCTCTGCCAGCAGCAAGTTAAGCACTGCCTTATGTGCATCCATACGAATTGATTTGTCCATCCATGCCAGCTTCTCAGGTGGCCTAGTCATCAGTAGCATCTGTCAGGGGCTTGAAAAAATTATAGCCACTTATAAGCCATCAGTGCCTTAGGAAAGCCTTCATCTGGCATTTTGCGGCAGATATGAGCCAGTCACTATTGGCCTCCACCTTGGCTGGTTCTTCAATGGTGCAGAGTCTGTGTCCTAGGTAAGTCACACTGGCCATGCCAAGCTAATAACCATCTGTCTCAGAGGCTGCTATTGGCATGCTTCCAAAGCTTTGCAGATATTCTTTTTGTTTTTCCATTTCTAACTGTACATGATTATGTGATTGTCCTAGATTAAAAACCATTGCAAAGCTGCACAGACCCATTAACCTGTTTATTGACCAACCTGGAATGTAGCAGGTACATCATTCATGCCAAAACAACACCAGGAGCTCTTGCAGCCGTCAGACTGATTTTTACAGTAGGATCGTCTGATGAAAGCACTGGCCAGTGGTAACTGCCATTACCCCTTAAAGTCATTCGTAGCTCACGAACCATCTCAAATACAATGCAGCTGCCTCTTTCCTCACAGTACTGAAGAAATAATTTTACAACAGGTTTTTTAAAGGGCACTTGGGGAGGTCAGAAAGGGGCTACTCTGCTTTTGAGTTCTGCACTTTGTTTCTCTTCTTCACTACATCACTCATTCTTCCCTCCCCCCTTCTTTTGGCTTGTGCTTTTGTACTTATTTACTCTAGCTTTTTCCTCTTTCTTTGTCTCTTGCTCTGGAACTGCCAGTCTCACCTCTGTCTAGCAGGTCTGACATGCTTTCTTCTTCTCACACAAGTGGCATCCCTCCAGCTCAGTCTCTATCTGGCACTCTTCCACCTGTATCTCTTTCAGCTTCAGCCGAATGGCTGCACTTCCTTTGTACACCAATGACTCCTGCTTCTTTTGGCTCACCCAATCAGTGGTTCTCCAATTCCTGGACTTCCTCTCTGTCCCAAACCCTTATTGTGTGTTAAGCACCATTTGTTGATTTCTTCATTCCTTGCTGTGATGAGTGGGCTTCTACCAATCTCTTATTGGCCAAACAAACAATGACGGCAGGCAGGAACACCATCTATCCCTGAACCCATAGAAGTTTTACAAGATACTGCCACTAAACCTAAATTTCACTGGTGTCTAAACTGCTCCTCTTCTTTTCTTCATTGTTTTAATCAGTTTCATATCAACATCTTCCCCTTGATGGTGCCCCTTTGTTAATGCAGACAGAGAAGCCTGAGCAGTAATATTTTGACACCAGAACTAACTCAAGTAATCATCACTCACTCCAGGGACCCTAACCTTAAACCCTAACCCTGATGCCTGCCTTCATTACCTCTTCCCTTGACAGTGGCCAGTTGGTGCTGCAGGTGTTCAAAGTTATCACATTACAGACACAGAAATGCCATCAATCTGAGTGTTAGGCCTCACCTCACTCGACCAGTAAGAGACTGGTGAAAACCTCCTCATCTCGGGAAGGAAGAGAGAAATCACCAAAAGTTGCTTACCCCTCAGTAAGGGCTTTGGATGGGAAAGTCAGATAAAGACTGAGGTGGAGGAATGCTATTTGACCACCATTCAAAACAATGGAGCTATGATAGTTTACACTAGGTGAGGACCTGCTCCCTGGGGACTTGGGGCCTGATCCTGTGGCAATTAGTAAGAGTTCTGCCACTAACATACTTTGATGTAGGATAAGGCTTTTAACCTGTGCCTTACAAGTTTGTGGCCCTTTCTGTTGGTCCTTCCATAGAAAGCACATTTCTATCTTGTGTCCATCGAGATTGCATTTCTGATGGATGTAACTACTCAAGTATGCTGTGGAAAACAGCAGACTTTTCATGTAGAATCCCATTTGTTTCCCCTCTATATCTATAAATATAAAGTGATACTGCTCAAAGTTTTTACTTAAATTAGATTTCCGTTTCCATCCTACCTGGAAGTCAACGGTTTTTTTGTTTTGTTTTTAAATCTGGAGTTCTCCTTGGCCTTTAAAGAAACATGAAAAGTGCACAAATTTTGAACTAAATAGCAAAGTTGATTTAAAAAAAAAGATCCGGGAGATCATTATGGCTGAAAGAATACCACTTTCAGATAATACATTTTCCTATAGCTGTGTCTTGGAAGGAGCTGGAAATGATTTAGCTGGAGGAGATGATCTACACTCTTCAGTAAAGAAGTAGAACTACCAAGTTGAAAAAATTTCCCACTGGAATATTGAGGAATAATTAAGTTACACTGTACAGGTTTCATCTAGTACTATATGATTGTTACAAGGTGAGGAAAACTTAACCATGCTGGAAGAGTCAGAGAAACACAATTTCCATAAAGAGAGAGAGATGGTTTTTTTGTTTTGTTTTTTTCTCTTTCTTTCTCTAAAAGGTAAAATTAAAAACAAGCAGCTTACAGTTTAAATGGAAAAGCAGGAAGTCTCACTTTGAAAAGGAACTTTTGCCAGGAGACGTGAGCTGCTTTTTCCATTGTACTCATCATTGTTTTATTATTTTTATTATTATTTATTATTTAAAATAGACAAGTCGTGCTAGTTTTCTGCTTCTTACCAGCATTAGTACTTCTAATAATGTTTTTCTGCAAGGGGTCTTATGAACATTTCACCAGTGCAGCTTCTGATAAAGAGAATCTTCTCTTTTATTCCCCTTTTTTTAATGTTGAAAACTACAAGCTATGTTCCTTTTTTTAAAAGGAACTTAGAGGTGAAAACATGTCAGTAATATTTGTATTACAGCAGTGCTTAGAATCCCCAGACAAATCAGGACCCCACTGTACTAAGTACTATCCTGTCACAGGCCCCAGTCTTTCATTGTGGTACAAGTGAGCACAGCTGTCCACCCATGCAGATCACATTGCAAGTTTGGGGCTGTAGAATAAAAATGATCCCTATCTGAAAGAACATAGTGTGACCTTCCTACCTAATTAGAATGGGAAGCCCTAGGTGGATATTAGTAATCTTTCTTTAGTGTTTTTCCATTCAAAATTCCTCTCCCTACCTTGCTAAAATATGACT